AATTATTCCTTCTGGTTAATTTATAAAGGAGAACTGTTACCTTTCAATCAGCTTTGGTACATATTTCATTAGGTAAGTACTTACTATAATTTTAATTATTTTTGTAAAAAAAAACACGTGTTAGTGTTACTGTAACAAACAAAAGCAAAACAAGCTGAGTCGCAAAGTTATCGTAACACACGGAAACTGGTCACTGTTTTACCAAATGGAAACCGATTCTTTATTGTTAATGTTATTATAACGAAAACGAACACTGAATTAATCATTGTTGTATCAATTCGAACCGATCTCTATTGCTAATGTTATTATAACGAAAACTGATATTAAATGTACCGCTACTGCAGCAAACCAAAACTGGTCTTTATTGTAACAGAAACTAGTCTTAAACGTACCACTGTTGTATCACATCTTAAGCAGTCTTTACTGTTAATGTTATTGTAACACTATTACAGCAAATCAAAACTAGTCTATGCTGTTACGTTACTGTAATAAAAGGCAAATCTATCTTAGATGTAACATTATTGCACCAAACAAGTATCGAAACTTATTGCAAACAGGGAATATAAAGTGTCGTGTTGTATTGAATACGACAAAAACAAGAGTAACTTCACAATATAAAAGGAAAAACATTATTATACAATACTATGCTTGTTTGTTGTTATTAAGCACAAAGCTATAAAATGTGCTATCTGTGGTCTACCCACTATGGGTATCGAAACCTTACCGATGAGCTACAGGGGTCAACATTTTGTATATTTGGTCATACTTTGGTCACGTTTACAGTGGTGTTATTGTAACATTAGTTCAATAGCAATAAAGGATTTTGACGTTTAGCAACAATCTAAATAAGTAGTTAAGGATGGTGATTTCTAGCATATTAATATTTTTAAATGTAAGGGTGGTGACTTCTAGTGACAACAATAAAAAATCATACTTCATGATATATTTGTTTCAAAAATTCCCGTAAATCTATATACACAGATTACAAGTCTGTAATTATAAACTGATACAGTAGATGGAAGACAGATAATATCTAGACAACAACACCCACCGACACCTCTTGGGTTATTATTATTATTTTAGGAAAGGGGGCAGTAACTGTACGCTAACCACTGAAACTCAGATCCACAGTCTGATAAGCTAATCGCTGGGCCACGCTCGGCCCATTCAAGTGTTATAAGTGGAATGAGTGAAGTAACTGTGAATTTTACCCTTCCATATTTAGTATAGGAAATATATATATTCGAGTATATTCTGGTAATCTTTTCCCATGCAGTTTATACCTATAGTTCATCGAATCCTTGTTGACCGAGTGTTCCATGTTGGGAAACATGTGTTAATCATTTTATGCAGGAGTAGGCTACATAGTTCTACCTTTGTTTTTAAGTCTCAAGCTAGAATATGTGTTTACGTATGGACTTCTTGGAAAGTACCTTGTTAAAACGAGTACTACAGAAACATATTCACCTGGCTTGGTAGAACATTGGTTGATGTATGTAAACTATGGACTTGTGAGATATTTGATTTTCTTTTGTTTCACTAAATTCTGTATATTATCTTATGCTAGATCTCCTGATCTTGAACTTGTTCATCTCAACCTCACGAAAGAGAAGTATACCAGCTGTTTTTGGTAGTAAAACACTGTTTGTGTGTCAAATAAATATTTTTGTGTTACAAACTTGTATTTGTTCGTTTTCCTTTGTTGTCCGCGTTTGATTTATTTTTCGCTTAACAGTCCCGTGCCTGCTTTTATACGAAATATTAGTGAACCTAAATATCACCGATTGCGTTCACGCAAGTTATAGTAACAATGACACATTGAAGAATTAAGGGTGTTGAATGTTAGTTTAAAAATGCTATATAAAGAGTTAAGCTTCACGTTCTACTTACAATTATAAGATATATTAACAGTTAAAGATACTGACTTCTAGCAACAGATGCATATAATATTTTTTTTTATATAAATGGAAAAATAGTAGTGTGCTTACCCATTTTTATTAAGGCAACGTTCAAAAAGTTCTAAACTAATCATATACTTCCGAAGAAGGGTGTTCTCCCGGAACGTTGTGTAACAAAAATATTCTTGGTGTTTTCTGGAATTACTCTTATTTGTATCACCAATCTTTATTGTAAGTTTCTGTAAGAAATGCTAACCTACTTTATCTTTATTGTAAGTTTTGTAAGAATACTAAGCAGCTTGATCTTTAGTGTAAGAAATGCTGAGCAACTTGAACTTTACTGTACGTTTGAAAGAAATGCTAAGCAATTTGATCTTTATTGAAAGTTTTTGTAAGAATAAAAAACAGTTTTATCTTTACTGCAAGGTTTTGTAAGAAATGTTAACCCACTTGATCTTTATTTTAAGTTTTTGTAACAATACTAAGCAGCTTGATCTTTAGTGTAAGAAATGCTGAGCAACTTGAACTTTATTGTACGTTTGAAAGAAATGCTAAGCAATTTGATCTTTATTGAAAGTTTTTGTAAGAATAAAAAACAGTTTTATCTTTACTGCAAGGTTTTGTAAGAAATGTTAATCCACTTGATCTTTATTTTAAGTTTTTGTTATAATACTAAGCAACTTGTACTTTATTGTAAGTTTTATAAGAAATGTTAACCTACTTGATCTTTATTGTACGTTTTTGCAAGAATGCTAAGGAACTTGATTTTTATTGTAAGTTTTTGTATGAAATGCTATCCTACTTGATCTTTATTGTATTTTTTTGTAAAAAACGCTAGGCAACTTGATCTTTATTGTAAGTTTCTGTAGGAAATATTAACTGACTTGATCTTTATTGTACGTTTTTGTAAGAAATGCTAAGCAATTTGATTGTCATCATTACTCATTAAACGAAATCTAACTTAACACTTTATTATGCTAACTTTAAACTGATTTTTATGATAGTAAAATTCTAACAAATGTATGTTGATTTAAGTTATTAAAATAGAAACAAATAATGATTGACAACTTCTTTGTACCAAACACAAAATTATTTTACAAGATAAATAGGTCAATCAATAAAAGTTTATTTCCTGAATTGTTTTTATATTTTATGCAAGTGGACTAATAAAAATATCCCTCCGATTTACATCAAAATATAATATTTGAAATCTAGCTATTAAAAACAGAATCTGAAAATACATTTCTAGCTAAACATTGAATGAAGATCGCCGATAGTATAATCGTGTTCAAGGAATAACAGTTTGTTTGTCATGAATTTCGCGCAAAGCTACATGAGGGCTATCTGCGCTAGCCGTTCCTATTTTAGCAGTGTAAGACTAGACGGAAAGCAGCTAGTCATCACCTCTCACCGCCAACGCTTGTACTACTCTTTTACCAACGAATGGTAGGATTAACCGTCACATTATAACGTCCCCACGGCTGAAAGGGCGAGCATGTTTGGTGTGACGGGGATTCGAACCCGCGACCCGCAGATTGCGAGTCAAGAGCCCTAACCACCTGGCCATGCCGGACCTAGGAATAACACCCAATTTTGAAAAAAAAAGAGAGATTAAATATGCTTAAAGCGAGAGACACAGATAAACTGGACCGAACGATAGGTGGATTTCAAGGAGGATAAAGATAGTAATAAGATGGATCAGCAAAGAAAATAACCTGAATAGATGAAACTATAGATTCATATGATAAATATTAAGAACAGATGATCGTGAATGATTTACATAAACATATCAAAAGAAATGAATTGCCGTTTCACTACTTTGCTGTACACCTTTATGGACATAAATTTGTATTGATCAATACTTAAAAATTGAATTCGAACGCCAAATTGAAACGAAACAAAAAACAACAGAATTTCTATATTAATTGTTGATGCATGTAAAGAAACAACAGAATTTCTATATTAATTGTTGATGCATGTAAAGTAACGCAAGAAAATGTGGTCATAAAGTTAAGTTAGTGGGAAATCAGATTTTCACAAACAACGAGAAGTTTCCCTTGTACACGCTTGTTACTTGTTATCTTGGAGATAGCGAATGGTTAGCTGATCAATAAGCAGTTGGTAGATTTTTAAGAGCAAGTAAGTACACATAAAGATAGATGTTTACAGCAGATTTCTAATGAAAATGATACATTGAGAGCTAAGAATGATTACTCCTAATAACATTTATTTTGTTAGAAAAACACGCAGGTTCAAGAAGTCTTGATATAAATGAATAAAAATCCTATAATCCGAGCGCTTTCGAAAGGTGGACCTTTCTTCTTCAGGGGCAAACAAATTACGGTAGTTCTTTATCGCAACAGTACTTTTTGAATACAGGATTTCTAGAATAATACAAAATAATTCTAATCACAGACACCGAAATCTAAAAGTCCACTTGTCTTAGGCCTAACATTAATTAAGTCTTTATTACGTATGGCCTTCATTCGATAAAGAGATAAATTAACACTGTAACTTGTGTACGTTTTTGATTTAGTTTAATTGAGGGTAAACTTTACTGTACTGAATACTATCAATAAATGAACTATATATAATGTTATTCTATTACATAAAGTTAGACCTTTTTAAAAGCTTTGATAAGTTTTTAATATGTTGTTATACAAAATGTATTTACATCCGCTTTTTGTTTACATACATTCAAATAAAGTACACACGCATACATAGACAGACAAAAACTGAGTATTATTATATGGGATGGTAGTTATAACGAAACTGGTCTCCGCAATAAAAGTGAAGCGTAAATGGCTGTTTAGACTGAAGAACTAAGGGAGAATGATCTGTATAAAGAAGCAGGTCTTCATATCAATAGTGAAGCGTATATTAGTGTTCATACTATGTAATTATACAGTAACAGACTACTCATGAAAATAGGTCTGCGTCAGAGTAATGAAGCCGTAATAGGTTTTAAACTAAAAGGTTACCTTAATGACCTATATCAAAAATACATTCACATACACACCATATCACCATGGTTTAAAAATAGTGTTTAAATTATGAAAATACCTTATCACAGCATAGGATATAATTAAATAAGAAACCTACCTGAGGAGCACACATTATATCCATGATGTATTCCATTTCGTACGTTACATCACACACTTCTGCAAGTGATTTTACAAGTACTTGCCCAATTAAATCGTGTTTAGAGAATCTGTCAAAATCGTATACGGAAAATTGTAACATACGAGATTTTAGCTGGTTGTAACCGACTCCAAATACAAACGTTTCATTGAAGACCGGGTTCAGGTTCTTGAGATGGACCTATGCAGAATGACACAGTATTTATAAAACAGAGAGATACAGTTGTTTGATAAAATAAAATATGATATTCTTATTACTGTTTTCTTCCCAGTTAATTAAAAATAACGTGATTAATTTTTGACATGTTTTATACTTGTGGACAAAAGATCATAAACCCATTTACTGAAATATTGCTCAGTGTCAGCATTAGTTTATACTTGCAATAAGTTACTCACTTTCTAAACAAAACAACAACAACAACAACATAGTTTCAGCTGAATAGAATACGTTAACTCCAGCTGAGTCAATCCCAAGAATGGATTAAAAAAGATAATTAATTTAAGATGAGTGAAACACACGAACCCGAGTTTGGAATTTCTTTTTGCGATCAGGGAGAAGATAAATCTTTACGTATGGGTCGGAGGATCCAGTGAAGTCCTTTACTGGGAGGTCTCGGGCTTGAAGTACCTGCAAGTTAAAATATACTTCTGAAAAAATAAAGTTAACATATTAATTAAAAACAGAGTGAGTTAGTCATTATGGGTAGAGGGGAGTTGGACATATTAAGATAACCTTGGTAGTAACACAAATAACCAGCCGATACAGCCCTAGTATAATACATAAATAGTAAATAAATGGTAAAAACTTCAAAAGGAAAGATAAATACATAGTAGAGTATATAATATATTTCAGTCTCCATCTTAAAAACAAAAAAAGCAGTAAACATTTCAATCAAACCTGTCCAAACATTATTTGTGAATTAAAAGTGGAAAGAGTAAGCCAGTAGCAAACTTGACAAGTAAGAGTACGAGATATCGACGAATTGATTAAGACAGACCCCAGAGATGTCAATTACAACTGGAAATCTATCAGTATGAGTTATTTTTAAAGTTGAATACAGGACATAGCCTACATAACCATTTCCGACACTAAACAATCTATTTGCGTAATGGTGCTGTCTCAGTTAAACATTCATTGAATTCATTCCCTCATAGATAGCTTATTTTACTTGATTGCTGTTCTATCATATTCTACGGTCATATTTTTTTAGTTATGTAACTTGATTATAATCAGGCAACTTGTTTGTTTTCTGAGCTTTACTGAAGGATATCTTAAAATAAATGTTAATTTCTAGTAAAACAAATAAGAGCAAAATAACGAGATGAAATGTGCTTTATCTCTACATATTTATAACGTGTCTCCAGTGGGCCAGCAGCAAGTTCACGGAGTTACAACGCAAACATCTGGGGTTCGATTCCCCATAGTAGACAGAGTGCTGGTAGCCTATAAGAAATCGTACCTTTGCACTGAAACAAAGAAGCTTAGAATGTTGTCGTGATTGTTCTCAATATAATTTTATTGCCACTTTTATAAAACAATGATTTAAATTCTTTGGGACATTCTTTTAACCAAATCTTTTCATGATAACACATAAATACATTTGCTAATATAGGGGCCAAACTAGACCCCATACTGACTCTCTCTATTTGATCACATATCTTTCCATTAAACAAAAAAAAGCGATTCTTTAGTTGTTATTTTACATAGTTTAGTAAATACTTATTTTGAAACTACCTTCATTATTATAAAATCACGTTTACACATAGTTCAGTGCTCTCATCCAATGGTATATTAGTAAATAGTGATTTCACATAAAAGCTAGCTATTGCTATGTCATGATCAAAATTTAATTATTTGATGTTGTCAACAAACTCAAAACTGTCTTTCAAAGTATATTCATTACATACAAATTCCTTTACATTTGTTAAAAAGTATTGCTAATTTACGGTTATAACATCTGATATTAATTATGATAGATCCCATAGGACAATTTTTATATATTTTTGGTAATCCATACAAAATGCCAGCATGTGAATCAGTTGGTCATATTTTCTCATATAATTATTTATATAGAACTTTCTCTTTTTTTTAAGTTCAATGAATATCTACTCAGCTTATTTTCTCTAGATTTATTTGGTTTGTTTTATAAAATGCAAAACTTAGTAATATCATTTCTAATTTCAAGAACCTTATTACAGTAATCTACTTTGTTTAAGATGACAACCTTATTCCCTTAATAAGGCTTAGTGGTTACAATATCCTTGTTTTTACTTAATTTACTTAATGCCTGTATTTCTGGCAAATTAATACTACATGGTTTGGGGGTGGAATTATAAACACGTAAACCATTCACACCTATTCTAGAAATATGTGTATATACGTTATCAAAATTTATCTGTGCTGTTGGATTAATCGCACAATCCATTGGGTCCTCTAAAAAAAAAGCTCAAATCCAAGTAGATAATCACGACACTCCAGTTTTTAAGGATAAGAGCAAATCTTAATCCCTGAGAGAATACTTTCTTTTCTACATCATTTAAAGTATAGTTTGATAGATTTATGATGACATCATCAGGATTTCCCGAAAATTGTCTACTTATTTGTTTTTTTTCTTTAAATTTAAAAATGTCTTATTCTGTGTCAGCCTTATTTTCAACAGTTCATCTTTGTTATTTCTTATAATTTCATTCGTCAAAAAAAAAAGATCTACACCTATAACCCCGTTCTTTATTTGTAACTTTTTCCCATCTAGAAGTTTTCTAATTGTGTAACCTTTCTCCCTTTATGTTTAATTTCAGCTGCCAAAACCTTTTTTTGGGTTTCTTTATATTGCTTCAATTGATTTAATCTATAGGTGGCAGCCTTAAAGTTTAAAAATTTTGGTATTAATTCATGTACTTTACACTTATTAAAAACTTTAAACTTAGCTCACATTTAGTTAACACATTGGGCTATCTGCTGTGTCTACCAAGGGGAATTCAACCATGGATTTTAGCATTGTAAGTCCGTAAACTTACCGCTGTCTCACCAGGGGCAAACTGGATATGAATTTAAAGAATAATAATGTAACAACAAATATTACTTAATTAATAAACCTTCAATTTAAAAACGACCCAACCAGATGCAATTCACACATATGGTTTAAAACACCCTTTGGATTATAACCATACCATGTAGATGTGATATACCATTATACAGTTTTTTGGCATTTACTTCCAGGATAAAATTTGACAGATTACTCCTCATTCCCCATGTTTTCAATTTTGAGTTATAATTTAAAGTGGAAGAGTAGGGTTGGCAAATGGTACGTCCCTCGTTCACTATAAAAAATATATCAATCAGAATTAGGAGAAAATAAAACGCAAATAGGTCTTGAAAACATCCTTAAACCCATCATCAAAATAAGAAACTATTTTGTATTTAACGACAAAATAGGCAAACCAGACTGCTCGAGCGTCATGAACATGTATAAATGTTACGATTTTTCTTGAGTACATATCTGTTTGTTTTAGAGCAGAACCACATCGGGCTATCTGCTGTGTCCAAAGCGGGGAATCGCACCCGGGATTTTAGCATTGTAAGTTCGTAAACTTACCGTTGTCGCACCAGGGGACTAGAGTGAAAAAGGACTGACAGATAGAGTAAAGAACTGTAGTTTACGGAGCCATGTGGAAGCATCAAACATTTTGAAACAATGTGCTAGTTTATAATAACAATCCTGTAATTATTGAGCAGTTTCAAATTATTGGAACTGCAGAAAATGATTATTTATTACGAACTGAAGAGACAATGGCCATTACAAATGTAAGTGGCTGCTGAACGACCAAAAGCTAGTGTAGTAAAATATTTATTTTAAATTATTGTAAGAGATAGAAAGTTTTAAATGTTTTGTGTGTGATTTAATTTTAGGAGGTAGGAGGTTTTACATTTCAGTTTGGTATTCATTTATTGTATTGTGTGATTTGGCGAACTTATCTAATGTGTATAGATATTGGTAGTTATAATATATTGGAAGATTAGAATCTAAAATTTGATAGATGTTTTAGGATTTTTCGTAATTTTGGTTTTTATGATTTATTTTTTCCACGGGTAGGTGAATATGGAAAATAGAGCTGTTAGTAGTAGTTATTACCCCTTTGGTGCTATATATTTCCTCTAAAGCTATACCTTATACTGCTTTCATTCAATCAGTCTGATACTCCAGTTTTCAGGCAAATATTATAACTGATCTCAATCAAAAAAACAAAAGGAAGATGTTAACAGCAAATAAAAAAGGCATTGCACTCCTCCCCCTTATAAATACTAATAAACGCTTAATTCTTAATGATTCTTCCCATCCATTTTCACTTTAATGGTTCACAAAGTATCTTTGGCCTAACAATAGTAAATCCTGCTCTCACACTACTCAATTTAAACTCAGTGTGTTTTAAGAGTATCGGGAGTGACTATAACCCCCTTTTTTCCCCAGCAGTCTTTAAACAGTATCTTTGATAGTTATTTGTTCCGGTCTGCAGAATACCTGATTTTATAATGTAGGGTGGAAATTACTTCAGAATATATTCTGTAACCATTCACTTAGTATACAATTTTCCGTGTAATCATCTCGGGATTTAGACGATTAATCCATGGAAATATCATATGCAATGTTTAAAATAATAAAAACCGCAATGCATTCTAAAACCATTAGACACAATATAAATATCTAGAAACTAATATTGGAATTACCACTCTACTCCATGAAAAGACTCCACGTACTTTATCTATTTTATATGCATATGCGACCTCTCAGTTAGAACACTAATAGCAACACTAAAAAGTCCCCCGGTGGGACAGCGGTAAGATTTCGAATTTGAACACTACGATCAGGGTTTCAATTTCCTTCGGTGGACACAGCAGATAGCCCGATGTGGCTTTGTTATAAAACACACACAAAACACTCAAAAATCAAATTCAGAAGCCCATCAAAGAACACAATTCCGTAAATTGGGAACTTTCTGCACTTCAAGACCGGACCCTCACTGTCCTGGCGTAAATTTAAATCTATCTGTAGAGATAATAACAAAAAATGGTCACATCTCAAATAATAACTGTTTCTAATACCGACAGCGAAAAAGCTAATATTTTTGCTGGATATTTTAAAGGTACCTTCACCTTTCCACACCTAGATACATTTGACAGTAGTAATTATAAACTAGTTAATAATCATAAAACCACCAATCACTCAGACTACACCACACAATTTCCCGCAACAATCTCCTACCAAATCTCTAAGCTCCCTGACGACAATTTAAACAGTCCCATTATTATTTTAGAAATCAAAATACACATCAAGCACTTAAAAAATTCAGCCCCTGGTGAAGACCGAACCAGCAACCCCAATATCAAACCACGTGTGACTTTCTTATCTTCTACCCTTATCACTTATTTAACTTATTTTTCCTGTGTTGTTATCATCCATTCCAGTAGAAACCCGTTATTATAACAGTAATTTGAAAGAAAATACCCAAATCATCAATTTCAAGCCACTTTCGTCCCATCAGTTTACTTACCTGTATAGATAAATTTCTGGAAAATATTATCTCTGAAGGCTGCAATAATATCTAGAACACAATATTTTTTTTTTACAC